ATCAGCAGTCTTGATTGTTGTCAGGGGTTTTTTTTGTAAGGTCTCATAGCTAAAACTCATAACCAGATTTTCTACAATCTGGTACTGGAGCACTAATGTGCCATTATTAATGTAAATCAATATTTGAATTAGCATATTGAAAACTTAGGAATAACTCGTGTTGAATGCATCTGAAGACACGTTTGATGCTGAAAACTAGAGCTGGATCTCACTGCAGATATGTAGAAAATGGTAGCTCTTGGATCATAAATAGTATTAATCTCATTTGAGGATTTTACTAATGTGGCTTAGACAGTTTTACTAATCACACTTCACTAATTAAATTCTTGTGTTGCAGATTATAATAAGTTTAACTTTTTTGGTTTTTTTAAATTGGGAAAGCCTCATGATGGGAAAGCACGTGGACACATGATTTCTCAGGAGACTAAGTTGTCTATTATATTGTATGAATATATATCTATTCACCCTTGCCTTCTGTGCCCCCTCCTTTCCTTTGCAGAATGGCTCATATATATTACAGAATTACTCAGTTTCATAAACTGGGTTATGAAAGGCAGTGGGGGTGCTGCATGTGTGGCAAGGAAGGTCACACAGGATTTATGAGAAGGATTGCCTGGCCCTGCTAGTTCCTTGGCAAGTATGAGCTGTGCAGCTATGCCTGATGTTCCTTACCTCCGTGTGCCTCGTCATCTGTAAAGCTAGTACAAATTTTATTTCTGTAATAGGGATGTTAAAGCTTCACTGAGGTTGCAAGTGCTCTGTGGTGTTTCTAAAATTATTTGGAAAATTAAGCACTATACTCTAAAATACATCAGCATTAGCCTGAATGACTTTTAGCTAAAGAAAAACATCCTTGCTTAGCTGGAAAGATCTCTGTATTCTCCTTTGTCTTAATTGCCTGAAAAGCTGGATAGAACAGGAGGGAAAAGGCAGCTTTTGAGCATGCTGTGTCAGTTGTCCGGATGCTCTTAAAAGACCCTTTTTTGGCTTTTGAAAATAAAACCTTGGGAAGGTTAAACAGAGTCGAGTTGGGACGCGACAGTCCTTTAGAGGTCTTTCTCTTCAAAGATGAAAGTATTTCAAGGAGCATGCTTGGAGAGCTTTCTCTTATCTCTGGGGTGCTCTTGAGCAATGTTGCGGTGAGAGGGATGGCCGGCAGTGGCATGTATTCTGCAGCGGTCCTGTTCCGTCTGTGAGGAGTTTCAGAAGCACAGAAGAACAAGGAAGCGAGGCGGGGGCACTGAGATATTCGGGACTTGGAGCACAGCCTATGAATACAGTATGAAGAGATGCCCAGTACCTTTGCAGTGTTACAGGTTTGAGCATTAACATTTCTATTCCTGATCTAGCCTTCTTTGACAGTGCATATGAGAAGAATCTTAACAAGGTGAACCACTCTACTTCCAGCAGGGGGTTGTTTTTTTTTTTCCTGTGGGAGATTGCACTGTGGCCCAGAGGTAGGGATTTAAGTTACAACTGAAATTTTCTGGGCAGCTTTTATTGCACTCTGAAATTCAAGCAAGATTTTGCTCTAGGGAGTTTCTCTTTGCCCCACCCACAGGCTGAAGCAGTCAGCGATGCAGAGAAAATGTTTATTAAGGTCTGAGGGGAAATAACTTATTTGTGCAGGACAGCCACTCGCTGTGGTCTCCTTTTTCTGTTTACAAAGAGGTAACTTAATACATCTTTTCCTGCTTCTACTCGTTTGGTTTGGGATTTGTTGTTGTTGTGAGATGCCACCGACAGTCTCTGTATCACTGATAGATGGATGGTCAGAAGGATGTGGCTGACAGCAGTCTTTAGTCCGAGTGCTCTCTGGCTCCAGCTCATGTCTGGATGCCTTTCTCAGGTTTAGCTTTTGTTATGCTGATGAATGGTTGGAACTGCACGTTCTTTTATGTAGAGCCACACAGAGATTCTCAAATACAGAGGCTCCATTAAAATTTGTTTGCTGTGAACATATTAACTTATTCAAAAAGAAAAGAAGGAAACCCAAATCCAATTGCATCAGTTTTCAAACACAGTTTCATTTTTTGGGGGGTTTTTAGATAAACATGTGTTACTGATAATCTGGAAGGGGCTAGTTAGTTTATTTTGAATTCTTTTTGCAGCAGCACACTGAGTTAAATTCTATGTCTGTAGGCTACAGCAATCTAAAGAGAACAATATATTGCACAAAACACTTAAAATTGTTTAAAGTGCTTGCAATTTCTTCTTATTTGAATAGTTTGTGCTGGTTTTGGTATTTCAAAGGCATCAATATGTTTTCAGAAACTGTAGATCCTTATAAAAGTGACTAAGTCAGTTTAGAAGAACTCTACTCAATTGAAAAAAAAAAAAAAAAGCAAAGTGTTTGGCATACATTTTGCAACTATTTCCTAGGGAGATGCTGGGTCTTACCACAAGTGATGCTTTGATTATTGGTTTTATTTTTGACATAACTCTTTCCTCCCTGCTCCAATTTAAAAAGGCCCACAAGGAAGTGGTGACTGAGGATGATAAAGCACAGGGATGTCACTATCCAGTTGAAGCTGAAGAAAGCTATCTCAAAACTTGAGAGTACAGTGATATGTTATAGAAACAATGATAAAAGTTGAGTCTCAGGAAGTCCAGATCTTCTGGGCAGACTGGGAGCAATCAGGAGGCTGATTTAATTTCACTTTTAGCCATTATTATTCATCATCTATTCTCCTGGATTATTCTGATTGCTTACTGAAATTACGCTGATTAGTCTGTAGTGTGTGTGGAATAGTTCTATGATTTTTCCTTTGGGTGCTACAGGTGAAAAATTAATCCAAACTCTTCCCAAGATTCTAGCTGAACTATCTCCAGGGCTTTTTTTTTTGGAGATCATGGTGGCAATTTTTTCGTCTTAACTCAGCAGGAGCTCCTTTGCAATTTTAATTTCTGCTGAATGCAGTGCATCCTTTGTGGACTTTTAGATTTATTTTCTTTTAGTTACAAAAGAGTCTCAGCCCAGTGTAAAAGACCTAGAGCTGGAATGTGACTGTGTCCTCATGAGCACTTCGGGGTCCTCCTGTGTCACCATCTGAATTCAGGTCACACCTTGTACCTCGGGGCAGATGGGTGTGTGCCAGGGGGAACCACGCTGTGCCCATCCTGCACTCCGTTGGCTGTTGCCTGCCTTGTTGAAATATGTGTGGAAAAAATACCTGTGACTGAAGAGCACCTATCTGTTGTTGAAAATTGGAAAAAGGGTTCATTTTTATGTATCAATAAACATAAAATCATATGGCCTCAGATGTCAGTTTTCTTTCATTTCCCTGTGTGAGGAATCACAAGCAAACTTGTGTTGTGAGAGGGATGTCTCCAGTTCTCTTAAAGAGGAGCCAAGTAAAGAAACCTGCTTGGCTATTTAATAATCTCCACAGATACACTGCCTTCATTGAGAGCCAGAGAAATTGTTCCATAATGTTTTCTGTTAATTCCCATCTTTCTCTCTTTGTGGGAAAAAAATTAGTGTCAGTTTTGTTGCTGTTTGTGTGCTCAGGGAACAAACTTTTATCATTGATTAGGATTAACATTAACTAATACACACTTTCTATTTCTAAAATTTATCAACATTTCATAGAATTTCTGTATCTGGAATTTTGTGCTCTTCATCTCTTTCCACTTCTCCTTGCCAAAAGGGTAAATGTATTTTTAAAGCCCTTAACATGCTCTAGTACTCATAAGAATCATAAGTGGCCCTTGGATCCTGCCACTTAAATTTTTACACAGTCATTGTTACATGGTTTTAAAGTAACATTAATTTCAGATATCTCAGCAATATGTCCACACAGTCCTGTTCGTTCGTCCAAGCCAATGTGATATCAGGCTCAGCCCTTTGCATCCCTGGTTACTGCACTGTTCAGTGTTCTCCACAGTTGTTTCACATGTCTGTAATATGTAGAGCCAGCTTTCTACTTTAAAATAATCTGTTCTTCTATGTATGTTAATTTTTCTTTAGCTTCCCAAACTCTAATAGTCAGGGCTGAAGCATGACCTAGCTTCACACAGTGAGATATGGAAGAGGATGTGTGTAGTTACTCAGCCGGCTGGTGAGAGAATAGAGTCATTAGCAAAAGGGAGCACTCTGCTGTCAAATCTTCTACCACAGCTACTGCACTCTATCACTGTAATTATATTTTTCAAATGCAAATGATAGCTTGAAGAATTCTTCCTTTGGTACATCGTTTACAGGAGCAGTTCAGTTCGTATTTCTCAGTAGGAGACAAATCTTGTCTGAGGCTAAGGACAGAAGAAGGTCTCATCCATTGTTTATTCCCTTTTCTCTGAAGATGTTTATTGTGTAGAAATACAGCTAACTGTGCAGTGATATGAAGAGGCTGCCTCACCAAACGGCATATTTTGTCAGCAAAGCAGCTGCTACTGCCTCTCTTATCCGAGGAGAGCAATCTTTGTGTAGCATGAAGGGAACGCCAGAGCCGTGGCAGGGAGCAGACCTGCTCAGCCTTCCTGCTGAGGGGAGTTGCTGTGTTATTCTCAGCCACTCCATATTTCAAATCCCCCCCCCACCAAAAAATATATATAATATATATAGTTGTAATATATAATATATAGTGCCCTAGATTTAATTTTTCTGTGGTTCTTTGGGGCAGAGAAATGCAGGTTGTGTCAGATTGGTGCAGTGAAAAAGCTTAGCCAACTCATCTCCAGGTCCAGTTTCTTATATTCGGTGCAAATATTCTCCTGTTGGGTTTTTTTCATGTGTCTTAGTGCAAATACATCAGTAACACTCATGATTTCAACTTAAACACGTATCATTATTTGGCATTGTGCTTAGTGATGATTGACCTTGAGAGATTACATCCCAGAACCCTGCCAAATTCCCAGCTACAGTGCAGGCATACTCTCAGTTTTTACTAAATATTTCCGTCTCTGTGTGAAGTAAAATTTGGTATTCCAAATTATTGGTGTTCAGGTACTGATAGATTTTTTTTTTTTCTCCTTTTCTTCCAAATCCTCTGCTACTCCAGGTATGAAGATGAATAATGCAGACCACTGGTTTCGATGATGCTGGGCTTTTATAACTGGATTCATTAAGGAATACAAAGAAAATTCTTACAGGGATCAATAATGGTGTCTTCTGGCTTCAGAATGCAAAGTTTTTGGTTTCTGCTCATTATCAGCTTCCTGCAGTGTACTGAAGGTAAGCTTTAGTTTATTTTTTACTTGGGTTTTCAGATGAGTTAAATGGACTGTACAATAAATTTCTGTTAGATAACTTGAAGCTTGAGGATGACAAACTAAATGTAGTATATTCTAGGCTTAATTTATAAGACTCAAATTGTCCCTTTTTAATGAAGAAAATAAGAAATAGGTTTTTTTAGGTTTGGTAGTGTTATATGTTGAAATTCAAATGCAACGTTCAGGCAAGTGAAATATTAATAGACTTGATTGGTAGGTGCCTTATTTTTGGTTTCTTCCTGTTTATCCTTCCTTTTCTATTCTCATTGCACAAGAAATGTATGGATATGTTAAATGTGATATAAAACAACTAAATGAAATACCCATTTTACTTTTCTAATTTCGCTCACTGAAAACAAAATGGCAAACACTTCATTAAGATTAGTGCTATGCAAGTTAAATTTCAGGAAATAAAACTCAAAGTTCATACAGAAATAGCATCTACTTGAAAATATTTTTGCTCTTTTTGGAAAAAGGAAAAATACTTCACTGCTATCAAATGTGTTTAAAATAGCTGTTAAATTAAAGAGATGAGGAAGGAAAAAGATTTTTTTAAAGCAGTTGCATTATCTGTTCTTTTTCTGTTTTTTTTTTTTCATAAACTATACTTCACCCAGTTAGTCTATCTCCACAGCTGTTCTTGTAGCCCTTTTATTAAACAAGAGGAACACAAATGAATGAAAAGGAAAATGTGACTTATGAACTTTTAATTGGAAATACTCATACAGAACTTGACGCTGGTTTTGGGTGTGAGCATTTTAATTGACTAGATTGCAGGTGAAAAGGTTGGTTTAGTAATAAAATAGTGTCTCGATGCCATCTCACATTATTCAGTAATTGATGTATAATATACAGAGTTCCTTGCTGCATCTTTGTCATGATCTCACCAGTTTTTAAAGCAGGTACGCACGTTACTCTGTCAAAATTCCCTGAATTTTAAAGCCAGATTTTCAGAAATACTTCTGGAAAGCTACCCTGCCTCCTCCTCTCTTTCTTCCTAAATTTATATAAGTAAAAAGGAACTATTATAGAAATAAAAAATCCCTAAAAATTCAAATATTTTCTGCAGCCTTCCACGCTCACTGCATCATTTCCTTAGCTTTCTTTCCAGCCTTGCCCAGCTCGGGCCGTGCTGGCAGACGGGCTCTGCCGAGATGGGCTGGCTGTTCATCTGCATGTGTGAACACACACATCTCAGGGAGCGCCTCCTCGGAGTCCTCCTGGCTGTTTCTGAACTTGGGGAAGTCTCATTTCACTGAAATAGCTTCCACAGTCAGTTTCCCATCCCTCCCCTCCTTCTTAAATGCTGCCAGGATGTAGTAAAACACTGAGCAGATCTGAGATGGTTTCATGCTTGGTGGGACTCCTGCTCTGGGAGCTGCTGTACTCGCTGCCCTGGTGGGGTCTGCCTGGGCTGGGGGCTTGGTTGTAATCCTACTTGTACAGGACAGTAAGTACAAACAGCTGAAAGAGAAAATGCTTTCCAGCCTCCTTCATAGGTAAGAAAGGTAAATGTGGATTAGGAGATTGGAGTTATAAACTTTGTGACTGGCTGGTTTGGTAATAACTGGTGCTGATTATAAATGCACTTACCTTGCAAAAGTGGTTGCACCAGGTGAAACCTAAGGTGTAGGAAGGTGAGACATCTATTTATGGGTTTTTTTCCTGAAGTTTTAAAACAATAAGGTTTTTTTTTAAATTATTATTATTGCAAGTGCTTCAGATCTCTCTACTTAATGCATTTTACAAACATTCAGGTCCTTGCAGTTCATTGCTGTGTGATGGTTGAAAACATTTGAAAGCAGAAAGGAAAAGCAGACGAACAACTTTCTGTGGTTTGGTTACAGTTGCAAACAGCAAGCTGTAAAACATGTTTTATCTGCTGAGCTTGGAAAGGGAAAAGTCAACTGAGAACTTCTGCAGATTGAATTTTTGCCATTTGCAGAAAGTTAATTTTCATTGTCATCTGTAATATTTCAAATTCATTTTGTTCAGTCCCTGTTTTTCTTGCTTTTAGTAGCCAGTAGCAATCTTTTGATGCTTCAGTTGTGAATTTACTTTTTTAAAGTCTGTACAAGAGCTGCTTTTTCAGCTAAAAGAAACAGGGAAGGAAATTGGGAGCAGATAACAGAATCATACCAAATTAATTGTAAATTCTTAAAATAAATGAAATACTATGGCTCTGTATACTGGAAATGAATATTAATATAGAGTTGGCTTCCAGCCACAGAAGAAAAATGAATACTGCATTATTACACTTTCTCACAAAATTACATTGCCTTCTGCTTCAGTAATAAGAGATGCCAAGTATAACATGCTTTAGTAGCACTTCATGCCTGGAAGTACGAACATGAACAAAGGTTAAAATAAGAGCATCTAACTTTTGCTAGAAATAAGAAAATCTTTAATTCTCTTGTGTGGAATGTAGTTTTTCTTATAGAAATCTGATGTGTACATGAAGGTTGTTGCAGTTACTGGGAGAGATAAAACCTGGCTGAATTCCCTGCTGTTACATTTTAATGTTTCTGTACAGTTTAATGGAGAGGAAGGGGGAGAATGATCCTGGGTGTGGACAAGTGATTCATTTATTCATATAATGAAACATTTTCTAATCAAGAAAAGGCTTTATTACTCTCACAGCCTTAACTTTACCTCACCAGGGAATTAGCAAGCAGGCACAGTTATACGAAGGCTGTAATTTTCTTTTAGTGTTGCCTATCCAAACAGGAATCGTATCCTCAGATAAGAAAGTCTTGGTTTTTTTTTTTTCTTTTTTTTTTTTTTTTTTTTTTTTTTTTTCTCCTGGCTATGCAGTCCAGATGAGATTGCTTTTGAAACAGTCCATTCCTTAAGGTAAAATGCACCTGGAACAGACAAGTGCCGACAGCTGGACAGGAAAACCACACTAAGTTGTTATACACTGCTGGTACGTCTGATCAACAAGAAGTCAATATTGTTGTGTTTGTTGTTACTGCCATCAACAGCAAGCATTGCCGCCCTAAATGAGGAAGAGACGAGAGGCTGGAAAGAGGAATGAAAAGCTCAAGTCATGAGCTGGAGTATTATTAATCTCATTTCTGAAAGTTATTTTTCTGTCCCTTTTTCTAGCACGTTTTATATAGGCGTGTCTTTCAAAGTTGTTCTATTGCAAAGGCAGACTGAAGGGACTGCCTTGGGAAGCAGTTTGGCTCAGCCTTGGGCCTGGCCTGGGGACTCAGGGCAAAGCAGAGCTCCCTCTGCTCTGTGCCAGAGCCCCTGTCTCTCCCATGTCCCTGTCTGTCTGTCCCATGCCCCTGTCTGTCCCAGCTCGTGTCTGCCCCACGCCATCAGGAGGGGATTCCTGCTCAGTCCCATGCACCTTTACTTACCTGTTTCCTACAAACTCTAGGAAGTTAATTACTTTTGACACCACCTCTTTTTTCCCCCCCTTTTTTTTCCCCTTCCTAATTAGGTGAAATCACTAACAAGTTAAAAATTATCTGAGAAAATACAGAAAGCCAGAGAGTGAGATCACACACTCTCTTGTTTCCATAGCAAAGCAGAGTAGAAAGCATATTATATGTATTATTGGTTTCTCTTCAAGCAAGTTAAGACAGATACACTAATATGCATATGAAAAAAAGATGTCAGAGCTAAACATTCTGGTGTAGATTGGTTTTTGGACCGTACAGGTTTCAGTATTTTAAGCTTTATCTTGCTTACAAAGTCCACCTTTTTGACTAGCTTTTGATGCTGTTTGTTTTTATTCTTTTCTGCTGCTTGAAAAGCACAAGTGCCTGGGAAGTGCTGAAATAATTTTCTTTGCTAACATTCTATTCTAACCAAGGTTTAATACAATTTAAATCCATTTTATTATGAATTATTATCTATGCTTTGTCCAGAGGAAGAAGCATCATGATTTCATTATCTATTTAATTCTGTTTTCCTAAATGGAATTAATGTTATTTAAAGAAATCCAGCTTGTCTTTGCTTCTGAATGTTTGTTTTAATGAGCGTTACACTGAAAAGGATATATTCCTGTAAATTCCAGCTATGCCAGCCAAAGAGCTGAGTGCTGAATTGGAAGCAGTTCTAAGTGCGTATTCAATGGTAGTGCATTTACTAAAGAAAATACAGATAACATACTTTGGGCCACTACAAAGATATTTGCTATTTTAGTGTATTACTCCAGCTCTTCAGCTTCCTGTGAAGCCACTCAGACATGGAGTGTCTAAGGCACATGGCACAGCTACTGAATTAACAGTAAAAGCATGTCAGCTTTACTACATGCTTACTAGGAGTGTTAGTAGGACTTCGCCCAGGATAAAAATTATAAAAAACTTGTACCATGGCATTGAGTAGAAATCAACTTCTGTTAATCAGTGGATTTAGATTCTGCAAGGAGTGAAATCCATTATGGAATCACACCAGAGCAAAGAGGAGCACTGATTTAATTTGTAGCCATGGAATTGATCACAGTGAGGGCTCTGTCAGGCCCCCAGTTAGTAGGAACCACTTGGTTTACAGAGGCTGCAAAGCATCCATAAGCACACCCAGTGCGCTAAGGCCAGACTGGTATTGCCCACTCTTTGGAGGATCACTTTAATAAGCTTATGCTGTCTTTATTTATATCATGTATACCTGATGTTGTTTAGGATTCTTTAGCAAATGAGGGTTTGTTTTTTTTCTTAATTGGTTAATGCAGATGATGCAGAATTTTTCTGAAGAAAGCAACTGCTGCTTGGGTTCTGTTTTCTGTCCTGAAAGATCATGCCATTTTTCAGTGGGATTTTCTGGTCCATACGTATCTGGGACATCTCTCTTTTCTTTTCTAATAGAGGGCCAACATGTCTTCTTAAGAGAAGATTTATCTAAATAGCAAGACCAAACTTCTTCTTAAAGGAGAACGTCTGTTAAGCTTTTCAACTGCATTTTCAAAAAATAGAGACTGACAGACTGCCCAGAAAATCCAGAGATACTTTA